ACGTACGTTTCCTTAAGTAATCCTCGGCTTTCTCCCTTCCGCGCCCATTCTGGGCCCCACGGACATCTTTCACTTTTTTCCCTACCTGAGCCTTGGCCTCGTCAGCACGCTTGGCGGCCTCTTTGGGGCGCATAAAGACTTGCGGGACGCTCAGCATGGAGACGATGGTGAGGATCTCGTTGGAACAGCCAAAATCGGGGGCAGAAAGGACCATCTTCGCCGCCTGTGGATCCAGAGGAAGTTCTGACATCCTATGCCCCATCTTGAAACCAACAGCAAGGAAAGAAGAAGGAGGGAGTCGTGACTTGAGACGCCCTGCTTGGTCTGGAGAGCATACCCGCACGTGTCCAAGGCTCCAAAGGGAACCTCATTGCCACTTTGCCCATAAATCCTACCTGCGTGATGAGGCCTTCGTCGGAGATAGCCCCCAGATAGTTCAACTCTTCCAAAGCCCGCGCCAACGTTTCTGGGGCCGGCGGGTCCATAAAGTCGAAATGCACCAGGTCCTCCACGCCCAACTTGAGGAGGGTTAGCACCTGAATTCGAAAGGGGGGCAAAAGGAAATGAAAGTACCGGGTACGGGGTTTAGCGTCGTGAGGGAAGGGAACTGGACCCAGAGAGAAAAGAAGGGAGGAGTTTCACGCAAAGGAGGGGGGAATGCATCCAGCCTGAACGGGAACGGAGGGGAGAGAGGATAAAGGTGGGGCCTCACGAGAGGGGCATAGGGACGTGGGGACAGAGGCCAGTTGCGAGGCATGTACGCAGGGTGACAAACTAGGAAAACGACAGAAGAGAAGCGTCTCTAGCAATTTAAGGTCCTGCGCTCACATCATTGAACATCTGGCGTGGATCATAGACTGGAACGACAATGGAGGAGACGTGTCGCCCAGCATACGCTCACCACGCGAAGGGATGGAAAAGGTACACTCTCGATCCAAGAGCACACCCAAATGCCTCCCCGGCCCCAACGGTCGCCGTCATCGAGCCTGGCGGACTCTCCCTGCCCTCCCTTTCCACGCACCACATTGCTCATCTGGCTGCGCAGAATTTCCGGGTATGTTTGCTCTTGCAAGTCCTTCTGAAAGCTCTTCTCTGTGTAGAGACGGAAACATTTCCCTGGTCGGGTGCGACCAGCACGACCGCTCCGTTGTTGGGCACTGCCAGGAGGGGAGGGAAGGAAGGAAAAGGATCAGTGGCCCGTGGATACAAGGAAGCTGAAGGCAACAAAAAGAAGGGCAGACACTCGTCGAGGGGACGCAGGCAGGGGAAGAGGCAGCAGAAAGCGAGGGATTCAGGTCCTGACCTGGCTCTGGAGATGGGCGAGACAAGGAGACTCTCCACGCGGACCCTGGGGTTGTAGATCTTCTGCTTCGAGAAGCCGGGATCGACGACGTAGACAATGCCTGGACCGCAAATGGGGCGTGGAAAGGGGAAGGAAGGGATTGAAGCGCATCACTCAGGGCGCCTTGGGGCCGTCATCTGCCTGTCGCTTCACCCCCTCCCCATTCCCTAGCCCTTTCCCTCCTCCCCTCCTTCCCGCACCATCAATCGTCAAAGATGTCTCCGCAATATTTGTAGAGACCACCACCTTCCTTCCCGGCGGTGCCCCAGGCGCCTGAGGCCCGGGGGCCTCCGAGAAGATTTTCTGTTGCTGCGTGGGCGGAAGGGAGGAATACAAGGGGTAGACAGCCAGCTCGCCGTGTGTGCTGGTGTAGTTTGCTGATTCATCGCGGATCTTCCGACAGGCGTCCTCGATCTCTTCCTCGCCCGTTAGAAAGACCAGAATGTCGCCGGGCTCTTCGCAGAGATGAATCTGTGGGAGCGCGGGGTGGAGGGCGGGGAGGAAGGCAGGATGTAGGGGCGTGGTGAAGACGATGGAAGGGAAGGGAACCGGCGGAGAACCAGACGGGAGGATCGTCGAGCGAAGTAGTCGAAGGAATCGTGAGTTGCATGTGGGGAACAGATATGCCAAGCGCCGCGTAGGCCACTGCGCCCGGTGGTTGTACTCCCCCTAGCTTTCCCTCCCATGCCCCCCCCAACCTCCAAACTAGCCAGAGGAAGGAAGGGTCCACGGAAGAGAAGCAAACTAGTATGCCCACAACTTGAGCCGCCGGTGCATGTCCCGAGATGGAAGGCCACCACGGAAAGAGTGTTGTTGTGGAAATCGTGTCGTCGCCCCTCCCTTTCCCCTCCTTCCCTCCCTCCCTCCCTCCCTCTTCCCCCCTCACCTGAAGTGCCGTTCGAATCGCTGCCTGCACGTAGTCTCGTTCGGGTTCCGGCGTGTAGAACACTTCCACCTTGAACATCCGCCCAGGCACTCGAAGCAGCGGGGCCTGTGCGACGTCCGAACAGAGAGTGGGATAGGCCGGCAATCCATGGAAGGGTAAGGCGCGCATACAGGTATGATGATCTCCATCGCGACCGCCCTTTCCTGTCCTCAATCCCTCCCCCCCCCCCCAACCCTCCCTCTCCCACTCACGTCGCCGAAATACTTCTGAAACTTCTCCGCGTCCAGGGTGGCGGACATGACCACCATCTTCATGTCGGGGCGGCGCTGCAGCACGTCTTTTAGGAGACCCATCAACACGTCCGTGGCCAGGGTCCGCTCATGGGCTGCCGAGAAGCAAAGGGCGAGACGAAACGCACGTGAGATTTACCGAGGAAAAATGAATGAAGCGCCATAGACAGCTACAGCGCACCAGCTCCGACCCCACAGAGTTGGCTTTCCCCCCCGCCCATCCCCCCTCCCTCCACTACCCACCTTCATCCAGGACGATCACCTTGTATTTCTTCAGCATCGGGTCAAACATCGCCTCCCTCAGCAACATGCCGTCCGTCAGGAATTTCAAAACAGTCTTGGGCCCCGAGCAATCTTCGAACCGAATCGTATAGCCTACCTCCTCCCCCATGGTCACGTCCATTTCTTCCGAGACACGCTTGGCAATGCTCATGGCCGCCACCCTGCGAGGCTGGGTGCACGCCACACAGTATCCGTCGCGCGTATACCCGGCGTCGACCAAAAATTGAGGGATCTGAGTCGTTTTCCCGGAACCCGTTTCACCCTCCACCACCACCACCTGCTCAGATGTAAACGGGAGGCAGAAGTCAACGCCCAAGCACGTGTGACCATGCAGTCTCACTCACAGTAAACATAAAGGCACATAAAATATACAAACTAGTGGCCTCCTTCTCGACACATTTACAAGGGATGATTCCCGCATTCATGCCACACCCACTAACCTGATTTTTCTTCACTTTGGCTAAAAGGTCATCCAAGAACTCGTACACAGGCAATCCTCTACGCTTGGCAAGAATGTCGTGATACTTAGACGAATATGGACGGTTGGTGTATGGATTGATCCCACCAACGGGGGCTATTCCACCATTGCCACTCCCTCCGGGTCTCAAGTCTGCCAGGTCGATGCGCTGCTTCCGAGTTTGCCCCATCTCGCCACCCACGCCTCCCATAGGCCCGCAATCAAAACCTCGTTTACTCATTCCACTTGTCTGGTTCGTCTGTAGACGTTAGAGATGCTTTCTAGGCCACTCCCCCCGGGAAAAGGGGAAAAAACGCAAGAATTACTTCACCCACGCAAGAGTAAACTTGCCCCCTGCCAAGGAAGCCCCCTGTAAAAAGAAAAAACATGGGCACAAAATGAGCCTCCACCCTACATAGCAGTGCACTACCACCGATCTCCCTTCATAAATCACCGTCCTGGAAAGCCCTCCCGGGCCGGCCCCTCCCCAAATGGCCCAAGAGCCCCCATAAAAAGGGCACCGGGGCCTGTGTGGATACGGGGCCGGGCACGCCTCGCCAAATTTTTGACGTTGCCGCTTTTCGATGTGGTCGTTCCTTGCCCTAGAGGCCAAACTTCCCGTGCCCACAGGCACGAATTCCGGCTTTCAAGGTCTTTGTTTTGATTTCTTCATCATTTGACAGGTGACTGCACAGTGGCTGCAATTTGGAGGGCTTGGTATTGCGTGGGAGCTGGTAAAGCAGAATTGTCGTCTTCACCGTCACGCACAGTACCTGGAGGAAGCCCGTACATCAATTGTTCGGCTCCCGAAATAGCTTTTCTGAAGGCTACGGCCTTTGTCAGATAGCATGCCCACCCCGTCCCGATTCCAAGGCACACCAAGCCGCCTTGCGTCCTCTTCCTCCAACGTGAGCACGGTCAGCACGCCGCGCACCCCGAATGTGACCACACCGTCCAGACGTACTACTCTCTCCTCCGTCTCCGGCGCCCGTCAGCAACAGCATGTATCCACCCTCACTGGTGGCAGCAGCGCTGGTAAGCGTGATACATGTTTGGAAGAAATCCAGCGTTTGCAGCAAAAACGCACCGAACGCCGCAGGTCCATGGAGGAAAAGCGTGCGGAACGGGCCAAGCACGAGAAACGCCTTCAAGACCAAGGGATGCCGGGGGATGTCGATTTTCAATTGATGATAGGCGCCTTTCGGACGGAGTATGGTTTGGAGCCACACCCTCACATCCCACCAGGGGACCTGAAGATATGCATTTGCGTGCGAAAGCGGCCCATAAACGCCAAGGAGCGGAAGCGGAAGGACTACGACGCGGTCACGTGCTTCAACCCCGTGGTGATGGTGCACGACTGCCGTCTCCGCGTGGACGGAATCACCAAGTACCTGGACAACACGGATTTCGCCTTCGACCACACCTTCGACGAGGAGGACTCCACCGAGGCCCTCTACCGTTACACGGCGAAGCCTCTCGTTCCCTTCGTTTTCCGACAGGGGCGGGCCACCTGCTTCGCCTACGGCCAGACGGGCTCGGGAAAGACCTTCACCATGTGCGGCATCCAACAGCAGGTGGTGGTGGATGTGTTCGCCCACCTGAGCCAGGCGCACGCAACGCAGCAGGCGCCGGGGGGGTTGGGCGTCTATGTGAGCTACTTCGAGATCTACGGCGGGCGGTGTCAGGACCTGCTCAACCACCGGCACAAGCTGCTGGTGCGGGAGGACGGGAAGGGAGACGTGGTGATCGGAGAGCTGAGCGAAAAAGAGGCCAGCTCGGAGGAGGAGTTATGGCGCCTGATCGAGGAAGGGAACCGGAACCGGACCACCCACGCGACCGAGGTGAACGATGTCTCCTCCCGCTCCCACGCCATATGCCAAGTCCTCCTCCGGGACCGAGATTCGGGGAAGCTGTGGGGGAAACTCTCCCTGGTCGACTTGGCCGGCTCGGAACGGGGGGCGGACACGAAGAGCCACTGCCGGCAGCGGCGCTTGGAAAGTGCGGAGATCAACAAATCGCTCTTGGCGCTCAAAGAGTGCATTCGGGCATTGGATGCGGGCGGTGGCACCCACGTTCCTTACCGCGCGAGCAAGCTTACGTTGGTCTTGAAGGATTGCTTCACGAAGGAAAAAGCACGCACCGTCATGATCGCCACCGTGTCCCCCAACGCCTCCTCCGCCGATCATACCCTCAACACCCTCCGGTACGCAGACAGGGTCAAGCAGAAAAAGGCGGAAGACTTTCATAACAGCGGGAGTGGGAGCAGTGTGGGCAAAGGACTACGGACAGAGGGCTGCGGGGAAGGGCGGGCGGTGCGAGGGACGGGTCTGGGGGGTGACTTTGAAGACGAGGAAAGGGAGGGGCGCGGGGGCGAGGAAGGTGCCTCGGGGGACCGGGAGGACGAATTCGAGGACGAGGGGGAGGACGGGATGGAAGGCACCAAGCAGTCCTCGCCCGAGACCCCCATGAAGAGGGCGGTCCTGTCTTCCTTTTCCTCCCCTCCCGCCACGGCCTCCCCCTTGCCTCCCTCCTCCTCCTCCAAGCTTCGTCGGACGCCCCTCAGGACAGGCATGGGCCCGCCCGTCCGCCTCGCCCCCAGCACGGCCTTGAAAGCGGCCCGGGGCGCACACCACGGGGGCGTGGAAGGCTCCCACACCACGAGCCACCACGCCTCTAGCCTCAGCTCAGGCAACGCTGTCGCTGTGGCGCCGGTGTCGGCCACCGAGAGAACTCCAGGGCGTCTTTCCCAGCCCCATCAGCCCGGAGACACAGGAAGGGGGCTCCAAAATGCAAATATCAGCTCCCGGGAGGTGTTGCCACCCCCGGGAGGCGAAAGGGACAAAGACAAGGCACCAGTTTCGCGTAAAATTCCCTCCCAAGGCGACGAGTCCTCGGGCGGAGAGGCCAGCCAGGCGGAGGCGGAAAGCCTGGACGACCCGGACTTGGAGAGCCTCTACGACGAGGAGGACGCCCTCTTGAATCTGCACATGAACGTGATCCAAGAGAACGCGGAGCTTCTGACGGAGGAAGGAAGCTTGCTGCAGCAGATACAGGGCGATGGCGTCCAGGACTACGATCTCGACACGTACACGCAACGGCTGGAGGAAATTTTGGCGCGAAAGATGGATTTGATCGGGGATCTGAGGGAAAAAGTGGGGGAATTCCGGGCCCGTTTACAGCAGGAAGAAAATGCTGGGAGGGTGAGGGGCGAAGGGATGGAGGGCTAGTGAATAGGGGGTCACAGTGAGCGAGCGGTGAGACTGTAGTAACAATAGCGAATCATAGCGAAGACGGAGCGCACACGCGCATCGTCCCTTTGGACCTGGCGAACGGATGCACACGGTCGTCCTCGCGGGGCAGGGAAAGAGTAAAAACAACGGGTTTGACGCCCACATTGTCGTGTGCTCATCACAGAACAGGGGCAGGCGCCGCGAGACCTGTGCTACCCTCACCCCTATTTGCTTTCCTTCTGTACCACCGATCCCCACGCCAACCAATATCCGCTCTCTCAACGGACCCCGACGGCAGATAAAACGCCCTCACCGTGGGCCTTGCCGTTCGCTATGCCTTTCACAGTCGCGCCC